CGCAAGACACTGGAAGGGGGGGGAGGGCATGTGACAGGGGTTAGGGGAGGCTGGGGGAAGGTCAATTGGGAAAAGGAGACATTTGTACTACTATTTGTAATACTTTAAACAATGCAATAAAATTTAAAAATATATATATTTTTGTTATTAATTTCAGAGAGGAAAGGAGAGGAGAGAGAGAGAGAAATATCAATGATGAGAATCACTCATTGACTGCCTCCTGAACACCCGCCACTGGGGATCGAACCCGCAACCTGGGCATGTGCCCTTGGCTGGAATCGAACCTGAGACCCTTCAGTCCGCAGGCTGATGCTCTATTCACTTAGCCAAACCAGCTAGGGCTCAACTATTAGTCTTAATATTTAACTCTTCAACAAATTTAAGGACTGACAAACTTCATATCCATCAAAAGCTCTTCTAGGAAATTTTGTAAGAGTAACTATAAAAATTTAGTTAAAAACAATAATTTTAAATCATGATTCCTTTATGATATTTAAAGGGAGGGCTCACAAATATTTAAAATTTGACATCTGTCAGTGTGTGTGTTTTTTTTAATGCCTGACATTGACTCACTTATTCCTCACAACTATGAGTTGTGTTTTATTGTCTCTATTTTATGAGGAAGAAAATCAAATATACTGGTAAAGTAAATATAAATCACAATAAAAAATCAGACTACAACTTTTAATTTAAGAAATGATATACTCACATTGGATCACGAATATATTTATAAGCTTTTAGAAAAGTTGCTTGTAAAACATAGTACCAGAAAAGTTGGAAGTTACATCAGATACTTCTAAGCTAAAAAATAGCTAGTGTTTCTATAGAAATATTAAATAAAATAAATCTTGAGGCATAAAAGTTCATCTGGTGGTGACTCCATAATGATAACAATAAATAATACATTTAAACATTTTAAAACTTAAATTTTAAAAATTTGAAGTTGGATGAATGTAAAAACAGACCCTCAAAATATATCAAATTGTCAAAATCGTTTAAAAAATGTAATCCATGATAAATTAGAATACTAAGGTCTCAGTGAGAGAGATATTAAGATATAAAATATTTGCAATCTATATACCTGATGAAAGACTTGAACCCAGAGTATATAAAGGAATCCTAAAATTCAATAAGATATAAACCACCCAATAGATGAAGGGTTGGCAAGTTACATGCACTGACCCAAATCCAGCTCGCTTCCTCCTTGTGCTCAGCCCATGAGCTAAGACCAGCCTTTTGGTAAGAACAGTTAAAAAGTTGAGGACAATTGCATGTAGGCCCATATGTCCTAAAATACTATTTTGGCCCTTTACAGAAAAAGATAGCTAACCCATGTAAGAGATAAATGTGCAAAGGATATGTATGGGTGATTCACAGAAGAGGAAATCAGAATGGTCAATAAACAGATGAAAACATGTTTGACATGGCTATTATTTAAAAACTTCAAATTTAAAAAGTGGGATACTGTTATATACCCATTGCATTTGTAAAACTTAAAGTCTTAAACACTTCCGGAGTTTGCAAGGCTGTATATAGCACAGGAACACTTACACACTCTGTAATAATAAAAATGTATCCACTTATTCTAGGCTATCCAATTTGTTGGTGTATATTTGTTCATAGAAACTTTTATGATCCTTTGTATGTGCACAGTATTGGTTGTATTGTCTCCTCTTTCACTTACAATTTTATTTACTTGAGTCCTCTTTTTTGCTTGGTAAGTCTAACTAAAGATTTGGCAATTGTGTTTGTTTTTTCAAAGAACCAGCTCTTAGTTTCATTGATCTTTTTTATATAATTAATGTTCTATTTTTTCCTATTATCCCTATTAAAATAGTTTATTGTTCTTAGGGAAATAACTATACCTCTACTGCTCTTTTATCTATCTATCTATCTACCTTCCTATATACCTACCTATCTATCTACATATATGTTAGATATGAGCTACACCTATTATGACAGCTGGTGTTCTTCCCCAATTATTGCATTAATAATCACTCATTGCATTCAATTTTCCAACATTTTAAATTTCCTCATGAAAATTTGCTTTTCATTTAATATTTCATTTTCAGAAAAGTTTAGTGTTACTTTCAACTACTGATGAATTGGAACCAATCTTTTTCTTGATTATTTTTCTTTCTAAAATTAATTTCTACTTGAATAAGTATTTTAAATATATTGTTTCCTTAAAAATATACAATCATTTACCAAAGAAAGCACCACAATACTCCATAATATACTTTTTATACTAGCATATATTAATCTCTTTTCATGTGCCAGGCACTATTTTAAGATCTCTAAATTACATTAATTTATTTAATCCTCAGAAAAATCCTACAAGATAAATTCATTTTTACAAATGGCAAAACTGTATGACATAGTAAAGAGTACTAACAACCTCATTCATTTTTAACTTTCACAATATTTTATAGACTATAATATTGTGTCTATGATATTTATTCTATGTAGTACCTTTTTTATCCCTGAGGACTTACTAATACATGCATTAAAGGCCTATAGCTGCATTAATGTTATGGTTGTTAACATATTAAAGTTTATTTAAGATATGTGTGCAAATAAGCTTGAAGAAAGTGTTAAGGATGTCAGAATACTTTTTAAAATTTTATATTTGGGAATAATAAACCAAATAAAGCCATGGTGAGTAGCCAGATAATTCTTCTTTTATTATAGACTAACCAAACTGTGAGGTTACTTTGCATAAGGAAGAATGTCAGTAATGCAATCCTTAATATTGTCACAGTTAATCAAATGTACTTAACTTCTCAATATTGGATACTAGAATAATGATTAAAATACACTACTATTAACCTATTTGATATCATGTTTTGAGCAACACTTTGTCTTCTATCAGTTGGGGTTACCTATGTCCATTATCCTTACTTCTTATTAGTGTGGATTTTTAAGATTGACGTAAGTATGAGGTAGATGTATTAGTTTGTATGAATTAATATTAGTGTATTAGTGTGATAATGTTATACTGCCCTTTGCAGTTCCTCAGGTCTCAATTGTAGGTCTATTTTCATTTGAAACTATTTCCCTATCCTCCAATCCTCATATGAAACTGATAATTTCCACATCTACATAGCCAGTGCAGACTGCTTTGTTATGTTCCTGATCTGAATATCAAACTACCAACCAGGTATTTCAAAAATACCTCAAACTCAGTATATCCAAACTGAAGTCAGGATTCTATGTACTCTGTTTTCAGGAATGACGTCATTTCTCCTCCAGTTGTATAACCGCAAAATCTAGGTGTAATGTTAGAAATCCTTCTGCTGTACCAAGGCTTGTCAATATTACCTCCCAGTTCTCTCTCAGTTTGCTTCTGTCTCTATTGCTGCTTACCAAGGGGGAATTATTATCATGCCTTCCCTGCCCTTTTGTATTAGGTCACTATCTACCAGTCATTTAATCTCTCTACATATAGTAATTTACTTAAACCTAATCCTATGAGGCCAGCGCTATGATTATCCTGAGTCTGCCTATGGGGCAATCTGTTTACTATCACACAGCCAGTAAGTGAAATGGCTGGAATTCTAACGAGGTCTACCAGGTGCCTGCATATGTCCTTACACAACATTACAGAACCTGATGGAAAGAAACAAATATTTTATTTTCCTCAACGTCTAGGAAAATGGATTGTGAATGTTTTAACTGAGGTTATCTTAAGTCCTTAATACAGCCTTATAAAATGGAAGATCACATTTTTTATACTAGAGATTCTTAAATTATGTCTGAGCAAAATGGAGAATATAACATTGACATCTTAGCTCGCTAAAATTAAGATAGGGAATTAAGATAATGTGATCCAGATCTTTTTCCTTCAAAAATCTGACATTTGCCTTAACAGAGGGATAGAGTTTGGAGGAAGTTGAGTAAAGATTTAACATGTTCTTAGGGGGGTGCCTGTGCTATATCAGCACCCTCAAGCCAGCCTTGGGCAAGTGCTGCGTCCCAGTCTATTTACAGTGAGTCCTGGGACCCGTGCCCGAAGGGCATCCCTTCGATCCCTCTTGGTGGTGGTAGTATCCATGTAATTTAAATTCCAGGTGTACGGGAGCAGAGTTGACATCCTATTTTAGAAACTGAGGAGACTGCGATGCATTACCTTCCAAAGTCCATCTCTGATTTTCACAGAGATAGAGTCCAGGACAGCCTGCAGGCTTATTCAATTACACTGTTTATTTTAAAATGACTTTTTTTTCCTAGTTCATGTTTGGATATGATGAATAAGCTCAAAATCAAAATCTCTGTAATTGGGTTGACACCATACCCAGAGTTGCAAAACTTTGAAATCCATTAAATTTCTTGGGAAAAAAACATTTTCTCTCCAGAGCAAGGGGTATTTTGCAAAAATCAATAATTTGTACTCTCTCTCCTGATGTCATGTCTTTGTCCATTCCTGGATGATGTTTAGTCTGGTGATTCTGATGTCTAACATCTTTGAGAGCTTCTAACTCGGAGGGCCTGTGTGTGTGTGTGTGTGTGAGAGAGAGAGAGAGAGAGAGAGAGAGAGAGAGAGAGAGAGAGAGAGAGAGAGAGAGAGAGAGAGAGAGAGAGAGAGAGAGAGAGAGAGAGAGAGAGAGAGAGAGAGAGAGAGAGAGAGAGAGAGAGAATTTTTTTCTATTGACAGTTTATTGTTTTAGCAAAATGTTGGAGAATTTCTCTAAAGAAAACAGAGTAAATACACCTAAGAATTCAAGAGTGCTTAACAACGGAAAAGTTAGAGGTTCAAGGAACCTCCAACTTACTCAATGTATAATTGCAGAAATTGAGACCCACGTACCTAATTACTCATGTACGTTAATGAACAAAACCAAACCTAGAGACCAAATCCTAGAGATGTCAGGCCAATGCTCTTTAATACACCTCAATATGCCCTTAGTGAAAACAAGTTTACCTCTGATATGATTGGTATCATAATTTTTAGTTTTCATTAATGTATCTGTGTATTCATAGGTTTGATTCAACTGATCAAAATCTATCAAGTCAACTTTATTTATGTCTTTCTCTCTTTTTAAAATTTATCTTTATTGTTGAAAGTATTACAGATGTCCTCTTCCCCTCCCGCTACCCCGACCTCTTCTCCCCTTTCTCTCCCCCTCCTCAGGCCTTCCTCATTGTCTGTGTCCATGGGTTATGCATATTCGATATAATAAAAGCATAATATGCAAATCGACCAAACAGCAGAATGGTCAGTTGGCACGGGGTGGGGCCGGTGAGCAGATGGCACCAGGACAGCCAAGGCGCATGCCAGCAGACATAGTGATGTGTGTGGGAAGGGCAGCGACCAGCAGCGGTGGAGGGGCGATGGGGGTGGGGGGCTGGCACCATCCCCCAATCCCCTATCTGGTCGCCTCCCACAGAGGGAGGCCGGGCAGCAGCAATGGTAGGGTGATGAGGGCAGTGCCATCCCCTGATTGGCTGGCCCAGTCGCCTCCTGCAGGGGAGGTCAGACTGCGGCTTAGGCCCCCTCAGTAGGACATCCCCTGAGGACTCCCAGACTGTGAGAGGGCACAGGCCAGGCTGAGGGTGTTCTCTTCCCCCCACCCCCTCCCCGCACGAATTTTTGTGCACCGGGCCTCTAGTATGCATATAAGTTCTTGGGTTAGTCTCTTCCTGCCCCCACTCTTCCCTCAGAAATTTGTCAGTCTGTTCCATTCTTATATGGAGAGACCATCTTTTAACAATTCTTTGAAATGTTGCTGTTGGCTTTTCCTCAACTCCAGCATCTGCTGAATTATGCAGCAGCTCTCGGGAGCTTCCCTTACTGTTGGTTGTGACAGCTCCAGTGGCCACTTTCCAATAAGTTGGTCTTCCTGGTGTCTCATGCTCTCTAGCTGTTTCTAGGTTACTAAGACCCTCTCTAGTTCACTGTCTCTATATAGCTCCAAGGACATGGCACACACTTGGCCAGCTCCCCAGTGGCATCCCTAAAGGCCAATGTAACACTAGAGGGGCATCCTGATTCCTTCTCTTTTGAGTTTAGCTATTATTGTTGACTTTGGATACACTGACTTTCAGCTCAGAATGAAGTCTCATCCTCAGTGAAGTTACCATATACAGCTACAAAGTCCCACCTTAGCAGGTCGGAATAGCTTGTAGGTAAGTCTAAGGTTACTTCCAACTTTTTTTTTTTAGCTTAGGCTTTCCTGTTTTTATCACTCAATGTCCCCACCTAGATAAAGGTATTAATCAATGAGCTATGGTATTCAAGGGTGGAGATAGTTACAGAAAATTTGAATGTTTCCTCACCTCATTTCTGCTCTTCCTCAGGCAGTTGTGATGTGTTGATATATAATTTTGTATGTCTGCAGACTTGGAAAAAGGCAGGCTTGAGGTGTACACTTATTCAATTCCTCTTCTGTTTATCAGTATAAATGTTAGTTTTGTAGAGAAAGGTGAAAAGTATACTGGTATATGTAAAAGTAGGCTGTCTTTTTGTAGAGAGGTAGAACTGGCTTCTCATATTGAAGTAATAGCTTTGGAGATCCAGAAGAGAAAGCCTCACAAATTCTAAGGTATTCCCCATCCTGGAAATATGACACACCCCTCCCTGGGTGGGGTGAATGTGGAAAGAGAACTGTCCAATATCAGAAAGGCAGAGCCCATTCACCCACAGTGATCAGAGAGCTCAGTTCAGCTCTCTGTGTTTTCTCCCAATGAATGTACCGTAATACTTAGCCTTTAAACTGTTGCACCCAGAGTACAGTAATCTAGATAATCTAGAATGGAATCACACAACGTTTACAATTCTGGCACACTCTATAAGAATAATTAGCGATTCTGGACAGAGCTTGTCACGTTGAGCATGGGCAATATAACAAGAAATGATCTGGCAAGATAGCATTCTAAGGAACAAATGACACCTCAATGAGGAGAATAGGCCCAGCTGAACATTAAGTCCCCGAAATAGAAGAAAATATTGGGACAATCACAGTAAAGACAGAGAGAGAAAAGAATCAAAGCATAAGAAGACTATAACAAGACAGGTGAAGAGAATAACCTGACATAAAACAAGTTGTGTCTCTGAAGTAGATAACCCACATGGAAGGGACAATACTAAATGATACAGCACAGATGAATTTCCCTGAAATGAAGAAATGATTGCATCTGCAAAAAGGGCACACACTGAATCTTATCTCAGCACAGTGATGAAATATCATAAGAATTAAAATATCCTTATGCAGGCATTCTACCTGGGTAAAACAAGAAACTTGAAAAATGAAAAATCACTTCTGCCTCACACATTTTCACAATAACCATTAATGCCAAAGGGAACCGAGATGTGTCTATAGATGATTTAGATAAAGATCCATGAGAGCAGGGACTAGATCTCACTTATTCACTGCTATAACCACAGCACCTGCAGCAGTTTATGGTACATAATACGTGCTCAATAAACACTTCTTGAATAAATTATTATAAATTCCCAAGAAAAGGTGAGTAATTATTCAACATTATAGTCAGTTAACTTACCACTCAAATATAAAGGAACAGTTTAAAATATGGAACAACTCAGGAAATGTATTCCTTAGTAAATATTCTTCTAAAAAGTTCAGGCAAGCAATAGATGAATAAAATTAAGAGGCCTAAGAATGAAAAATATGTGATATTGTGTGATTCTTATGAAAACAATATACTCCTTATTTTAAAAGAAGAGCTAGAAGAAAGGATTGATAGAAAAAGAAAGAAAAATTCACCTGTGTTGGGAAATAGAATAAGTTGGACTACAGAACCAAGAGTGAAGGGTACATAGACAGAGATTAGAAGAATGTTGATATTGGAGAGGATTAGAAAGGGGAAAAGGGGGATTTTAAGAAGGATTATGGGAGATCTGAACTTACAGATCAGTCTTATTATTGTTGGATTGCCTTTCTTGAGTACAGTATCTTTCTGAAACTTAGTCATATTGTACCCTGTATGTATGTATGCATGTATATGTCTGCATAAAGTTAGAATTTGAAATTCATGAGGCCAGGGATTTTTATCTTTTCACTGCTATATTCAGAGCACCTATAACAATGGCCTAGCCCTACTTTGGGACAAAGTCGGTGTTTAATAAATATGTGTTGAATGAATAATCTT